GGTGGTGGTGGTGGTGATGGTGGTAGGCTCGATCTCTACTGGAAGCATGCCTCGGGACTTAGGAATGTCACTGTAAAGTGCAAGACGCCCATGATCACGTTGGCTCCCGCATTCAGACGGGATGATGGTCATCATCAAACACACCTTCTCGTTATGCATGTAACGTCCTAGCTCATCGCGATGACTGTTTCTTGTTTGATTAGCACAAGTATTTCTCCTCCTCCTCCTCCTCCGCCTCCTCCTACAACTACAGCAACCGTTACTGCTGCTCCTACTGATTCTCCTACTGCTACCACTACCACAGTATCCCTACCACCGCCACCACCGCCACCGCGACCGCCACCACCACACCCCGGGAGCTTTCTGATATAGCCAGGATTCGTCGGCCGGGTGGACTTTACGGCTCGGTCGATGAAGGAAGTCATGACCTAGGGTCGCTGGCACTGTACCCGTCATCTCACCAGATTCCGGTTGTCAAGGGGGTCCGATCCGCGTTCCTTCTCGCGCCCTTCCCTGCCAAGAAAACCTTCACACCTCAAAGACCTACGTGGCAAACCTTCAGAGCCCCGGCCGTGTGGCTTTGGGCCGAGTCACAATGTTGTAGACCGCCAGAGTGAAGAAAACCTCTGACCGCAAAAACGACGGAGCCGGGATCCCCGAAGAGCAGCAGATGCAAACGCCCGAAGGCATCCAAAATATCCTAGAGTCCTAGAGATCAAGTTTGGGGATCCACACTGGGTGGCTCGGGTGCCAGGAGAGCTACGTAACTTCTAGGACTCTAGGGCTTTGTGCAAAAAGGTCACAATGAAGAACACCAACATGCCAGCCGGAATGGAGCCAGTCTCGGAGACCAAGCCTGCCCAAGCGTGGTGCGACACCCTAAAAACACATAAAGGCCCGAAGACCATAGGTTCTTGAGATCCGACGACCCGGACTGAGTTGCAGGACCATGGCGAGGCAACTGTGTGCAGGAGATCGCGCACAGCACTTCGTTCGAACAGCATATGTTGAAAGAAGCTCGAACCGCAGCATGTCCAAATGGCGAATGCTCCAACACGATGCCGTGCTAGTCCTATGGCCGAGCGGCGGTGGATGTCGATCCAGTCCTCGCCGCCAGTGGTGCAGCCCAGCAGTGTCAACATGCACATGAGCCTCAGTTTCCATAACTTGCGGGGCATCTTGCGCTTCCTACTTACAGAATCTGCAAAACAGCGCTTAGCAACAGCTTGCCTCGAAAGAGTCGTGTTTGGGTCCGTCGATCGTTGGAGTACACGTCTGATCAACTCCACTTCATACCCGTGGCCTCCCTCGCTGACATGGCAAAAAGCAACTAATTGCAGAAACTCAGACAGCCGTTCAGCCATCAGATTGAGAATCCCGGAAGGTCGTCCTAATTTCCGGGCGCTGTCTGGAAATGGTGCAATTCTCATTCACATGCAGACTTTGCCGCACATGCGAGTGTAGTAATCTCCTGTTTTTTACGACAGCACACCTGAAAAGCCGAGACTCAACACTGTATAGAGTAGAGCTCAACACGATGCTCAGGGTCTGGTGTCTATAGTGGTTACCTGTGTCGATCTCATGCAAACGAGACTCCCCATGACCGTTAAAGGGAAATCATAGCCGTTGCAACAAGGAGTAGCTACGTAGCTGTACAAGGTTGCACAAATTCCCCGAGGAGCGCTTTTCAGAAGGAGTGCTCGACGTAACCATCGCTGCGTGCGGATCCGGCCACCCTCTGGCACTCTGTCCGGCTCCCGTCCCAGAAGGCCCTCCTCAAAAACTCCGGCACCGACTGGCCCTCCGGCCAGTGCGTAAAGTCCGCTGCAGTCCATCCCCGTGCATTCCGCGTATCCAGTCGTGCCCCGAGAGCGATGAGCGCTGCAGCTCCCGTGTACTGTGCTGTCAGCATGGCCAGAAACAATGGTGTAGCACCAGGTGCATGGTAGAAGACACGGGCAGAAGTGGTGGCAGAGCCAAGTTTGTATTGCAAGCCTTTCAGTTTTATCCAGAGTCGGACTGCCGGAGGCTCACTTCCCATGTTCGTAGGCTCGTTAACATCCGCTCGCATCTCTACGAGCCGGAAAACTAGATCGGCATTGTCTCCTCGATAAAGCATAGCGCAGCCAAGGGCGCCAGACAAATCCACCGTCTCGCCGGCTTGCGCAACGAGCTCCTCCACCACAGCCAAACAGCCACTGGCACAGGCGCTCGGAAGGGCAGAAATGCCGAGAGAATTCTTCAAATGCGGACTGCAGCCAGCCTGGCACAAGATGCGGATGCCTTCGGCATTGTTTGCTTCCGCTGCTGTTGTGAGGGCTGGGTCGACAACTCCCGACCGGCCGTCGACCCAAGCTCTGGCAGCTATAAGAATTCGCGCTGCTTCGTTGTGATTGTGCAAAACGCAAATGGATAAAGGTGAAGTGGACGATGGTATTTCTACCTGGGGCATATCCTTCTTCGTCTTGCAGTTCGGATCAGCACGCCGCGCTAGCAAGCCCCGAACTGAGTCAGCATCTCCGCTCAAGGCTGCGTAGTGCAAGGGCGACCATCCACCCTTGTCGGTCTCATCTACAGCCGTAAATCCATTCTGGAAGAAGAAGCGTTGCACGGCGAGGGAATAGAGAGACCCAGCGTCTTCATGGAACCCAGGCACTACTTGGCATGTGTCCTCCACGCGCAAGCCCCTCAAGTACACTGGCCGCAGATTCAGCAACACCCGGTAACTCACGTAATCATGGGCTCTCAGAAGGTCCAGTAGCTTGGCATGCACTGCGTTGGACAACACCGGCGCCAGCTTATCTGCATCCTCTGGCACGGTGAACTTGCCTTCACCAGGTGGTCCCCCGTAGGCAGTTGAGCGCTTGCCAAGCACCAGTTCCAAGTGCGTAGGGCTCTTCACCATAATCCACGATTCATCACGGCTGAGCTCACGGCAGGTGCGCTCAACGGCACACCACCCACGAGCTGCCCACGTCCATTCATTCATTCATGCATTGTACGTCAACCTGCACCGTACCCGAAGGTTGGTAGTTTAGACGCCCTCAGGGGCGGAGAGCCGAAGCCCCCCTCATTGCAGCAACCCGCGACGGCGCAGGGTCGTGGCCACAGGCATGGTGGGACCACAAGTGCCCAGGCAAGACACTAGGCCCCGCACACAGACTAAAGGCAAACCCAAAGCCCGGTGACAAAAGAGAAGACTCGGCCCAAAGGAAGAAGACCTGCGGCCCGCAGTGGCATCAGACAGATTGGGTCTTCGCAAGGCAACCAAAGGGGAAACCCAAAAGGGGAGAACTAAACCGAAAAGGTCCGGGGTGGAAGCCTAGGAGCGTCACGACAAGCGGAGCTCACCAATGGCACGTTTCATCAAGTCATGATAAGGCCCAGTGGCCTCGTGCTGAACCCTAAAAGCAGCGCCTCAATGGACGGCAGCATCGTAGCGCTCACAAGCTGTTTGCCAGTCAGCCCGAAGGGGCAAGAGCAGGGAAGTGCAGCGTGCATCTGCCTCACTGTTGAGAGCCCGAGCGAGAGTGGTGTGAGCAGGGTTGTCCGCCTGCCACCGCAGCTGCTTGCCGTGAGAAGGTACCCAGTGCACCTGCAGGTCATCCCTCAGGCCTCGCCAGAGACGCAACACCAGAGCTTTGTTGTCGAGGAAAACGCAGGCAGGCACATCAGCGCGCCGGAGGTGGCACAAAAGTTGCCAAAGTGCTTCTCGCTCCGCCGCCGCAGGTGTTTGCTCAAAAGTGGAAACCAGGCCACCAACAACAACAGGGCCGGTGTCAGTGGCGGCCGCAACAGCCCAGGCCGCACGCTGCCAATGGGCAAGCTTCGGGCGCGTAAAAGCACCCCCGTCAGTAGCGCAGACAACAGGCCCCACGGCCGCGGCGGGCGCTAGTTCCGTGACAAGCTCAAAGTCCAAGTCTGGTGGAGGGGGCGGCCGGTGCAACGGTAAAGGCAGGAGTTTGCAAAGAAAACTCCTCTCAGGCTGTGAGCCCAGAGGGCGCGTCCAATCAACCGCGGGGCAGCTGAAAGTGAGGTGAGTCCGCGTGGGGACCGGGTCACCGCACGTGCAAGTCAGGTGTGCAGCCGCCGGTGGCTTCTGAGTCGTTGAAGAGCTCCAGCGTCAACAGCACAAGCGGTGGCCGTGCGCAGGCCTCTGGGGCCCATGGTCTCGGCCATGCGTTGAAGCGGCTCAAAGCACGGTGTGCTGAGCGCAAGGTCGAACGGCGCACTTTTGGGGTCCTCCTTCCAAAGGCGCTGCAGAAAGGCATTATCAGCCGCACGGCGTAAAGCACACAGCCCATCCCAGCCAGGTTTGAGCGTGCCAAGGGGGGTCCGCCAGGAGCCGTCAGCTAAGCAGGCCCACCCCCACTTCTTAAGCACCGCGGGCCACCGGGGAACGATGGCAGGCCGTGTAAGCACAACAGTCGGTCGCCGGGAACACCGGTACCATTCCTGGCGCGCAACAGCAAAGTCCATGGCATGGCCGGGGTGAAGGTGCGGTCTTCCAACCGTGTGCCACAGCAGGAGCTTAGAACGGCTAGGCGCAGGCTGGCGGCCCCAAAGTGCAAAGGCCACCTGCCGTGTCCACTCGTGGACGTCAGCAACTTTGAACTGGGTCCAAGGCGCGCACCAGGCGAAGAGGGGGAGAACGAGTTCCCGGACCAGAGAGCGGCGCAAGGCCAGCCCCCGCGCAGCGTAGCCAATGCGTTGGCAGCGCACGGCAACGGCAGAGGAGAGCCTAGCAACCTCAGGCAAACAGGTAAGTCCAACCGCGTAGTGCACCCCGAGCAGCACAAAGTTTCGCCGCAGAGGCCCAAGCCAGCGGGCGTTGGCAACGAGGTAGCCCTTAGTTTGAGCACCGGTGGCGAAGCAGGCCAACTTCTCCGGGTGGTGACGTAACCCGAAAAACTGGTCAACAGGATCACCCGCCTGGGCCGCGGCAAGCACAAGGGGGCCCGGCTGGCGGCCAACAGCCCAAACGGTCCTGTCATCCAAGTAGGTTGCAATCACGGCGCGTGGCACAGCCGTCTGGACAACACGCACCCAAACGCAGACAGTGCAATTAAGCAAAAGGGGACTAAAGGGGCAACCCTGAAGTAACCCTGTCATCGGCCGGATGGCCGTGGGGTGGTAAACCCCTTGCCAAGACATGTGCCTTTGCTGCATGGCGTAAAAGTGCCGGAGAAGAGGCAGCAATGCCTGGGGTGCCCCGAGCCACCGGGCGACCTCAAGCGCCTGCGCAACATGCACGGAATCAAAACAACGTTTGATATCGGCTTTATAGCCTGCAAAGTGGAGGCGGTTGCTCCTCGCGTGGTGCAAGTCGGCGGCGAAGCTGGCATGCAAGTCACTGCAAGACCGCCCCGGCATGGAGCCCAAAAGCGAGGGCGGCGCCCAGCTGAGCGCCCAAACACGTAGGTTGCGAACCACCACGGTGCCAAGGGCGCGCCAAAGCGCCGAAGCAATGGCAAGTGGTCGAAGACCACCGTCCTCCTTGGGGAGCAAAGTATAATCCTGACATGGTACCAACTTTGCGGGAGCTTGGCAGCACTCAGGCATCGCGCCCAAAGTCGGGTCAAAAGCTGAAAGAATGGCAACGGAAGCAGTGCAAGTGCTGCCGGGGCCCAGGAGTCAAGGCCAGCAGCCCTCCGAGCGCTAGCCCGCAGGCAGGCCAGCACAGCAGCAGGAGTCGGATGCAACAGCTCGTCGGCCCAAAACGCCGTAGCAGGCCCTAGTCGGGCACACCAATCGCGGGTCTCCGCCTGGGTGTGCGGGGCTGGGGTCGACCATTGGGCCTCCCACTTGGCATGCTCCGCAGCAACAATATCAACAGGGTGCACCGGAGCATCATTAAGAGGGCCAGGGGCCGGGGCAGCAGTGCGGCACACCCAGCCACGAAGTCGGTGCACATTGTTTTGCACAGCATCGTGCCATTGCCTGACACGGCCCTGCGACGCCGCAACCTCAAGCTGGGCAGCCTGCCTCAACGCCCCATCGCCGATCACCTGTGGAGACGAACGGTCCACTAAACCCAACTCAGCCGCATCCTTAAGCACACGCTGCCAAAGCCCAAATGCAGTCGGGTCCTCAGGCCGCCGTTGCAACTCAAGAGCACGTCGCGCAAGGCGGCGAAGGCGGCGCTCAGGATG